TGTTAAAACTTCTGGGGACAAGTATATATATATATATATATATATATATACACATATATATTTATGTGTTTGCTTATGTGTGTGTGTATGTGTATTTGTAAGTGTGCATATATAGATATACACACACACTCCTTTATGAGTATGGGCACTTATTTTATCAATACAGATAGCAACTTCTCAGTTGGTTGAGTAGATGTCTTCACAAGTTTTTATGGCCAGAAACATTTATTGATTGGTGGACTTTTTTTTGTAATAAAAGAGAAGCCAAAGTTAATGACCAAGTATTTTTCAAAGAGGAGACGATTTAAGCAGAGTGAGACGTCCTATATAATGAAGGAAATCAATATCTCTTAGGCAGAATTAGGACCCCAAATTTATCTTTATTGTTTTCTCACCTAAAGGATAATAATTCTTCTTGCCAATATTTTAAGGATATCCAAAGTTTGAATATAGAGGAATATTTGCCATCTGCAGTAGATTTCTACCAACTATGAAGGCTTTAAGTTGCTTCAAGATGGGTGCTATATCTTGTGATTTGTGGATTCCCCTCTCCTATATGCCCAAGCTTACTTACTTGCACCAGTAGGGGCTGGTAAATATTTATTAGTTTATTTTATTCTCTATTCAGAAAAAAAACCCCATGGCATTTTAAACTAAGCCCTCATAGCCTAGGTCATAGCCATTTGGTATTTAGATAGCATTTCAAATAGTAGATTTAATACTTTGAAACAAAAACTTCAGTGGGGTGGGATCACTTTACATGTTATTTTCAATCAAATGAAATATTTGTAAAGCACTTAGTACAGTGCCTGCCATAAAGTTGATACTTAATAATTGTGTGTTCTCCTTCCTCTTCCCTTTCACCCTTGAAGTACCGTCAAAATGTGCAAAGCTCATCAAAAGTCATCTTCAGGAATTAGAGTTCACTAGTATACTCACTACAATGGGAAAGAGCCCTTGAACTCCAAGCCCTTTATCAAAAACTCTTATGCATTTCAACTCTAGCTTAATGAAAGGGAAATCAGATTCACCTAGTTCTGGCTTGTTAGCAAGTTCCCCATTGCATTATCATTGAAAGCACTATGTCCCTGACTTTTTAAAATAATGCCTTTACTAAAGTCTGCTTTCCAAGTGGCATTGGCTGTTTTTTTTTAAGAGAAAATTTACTTTGAACATCCAAGCATTTACTATTGGTTATGAATTTTAAGTGCATTCAAATTTGTACATCTGAATATATCTGAAAGAGTTCAACACTATTTTGATCCTATTCACATTAGCAATGATTTAATAGACATTTCCTTCTTTTTCTATATCCATCACTGAGTGAAAAAAATATGTGCATTGAAATTATAAGAGGCCTAAGCTGCATTTGCTGCATTGGACTCTGTGACATCTGCAAATCCAAATTTACTTTACAGATAGCTTGACCACATGACAAAATTCATCAGCTAAGTGCCAGATTTGGAGGTTCTTACTAATATAAAAAATAATCACCATAAACAACTCATTCCAATTGGCTTATTATCATTATAACCACCAACATTAGCATCATAATCTCTACTAGGCAGTCTGTAGTGGAACTTTTTGCTGTTCTCCAAATGGCATAGAGTTTGGGATCTTTTCCTACTGACCACACAGCATTATGCTATTAATATATAAGTCCACTCTGATTTCCAGCATAATTATAATTTTTATGTCAAAAGATTTACAGCTTCATCACCCCTAGCAATATTTCACAGCTGTAGAGAATGATTTATGCAATAATGACTTAAACTGTGAAATGAAATCCTCAAAGGAAGGGCTGTCATATATTAGTACTTAAGATAACTTGCTTTAAAAAAAAAACAAATTGATACTCTGATAACACCTCCAGTTGTAGGTAGTAAATTCACATAGAGATTTGGTTTGAGTTTGTTTCTTTCTTGGTTAATGTTAATAGAGAAGTATGCAGTTTGGGGAGTAAATATGAAGTTCTTGCACATACATATTTGAGTTTAAACAACTTTTAGTGACTCTAGGCAACTTCGGAAACAAATTCTTAGAAACAATGTCTCTTACACACAATCTTTGCCACAATTTTTGCTCACCTATTTTGACTGAACATAATAATGTCTTTTTTTTTCCTTGTGTGATTTGTTCATTTGGTTTCTTAGCCTCACTATTCCTATTCTTAAGATGTTGCTAGCTTTTAGCTAAAAATGACTGGGAAGTAACAAATGGAGAATGAATTAAGGAAACATAGATTGAATACGCTAAAGGAAATAGCCTCAGTAATAAAGAATTAAGGAATCATTAGGAAAGCAAAACTGTCTTCTTTCTATCCTACTGTCAAATGTTAAAACATCAGGAATTAACCATGATGTGCTAGCAGATCTACAAGGGGAAAGAGTTTCAAAGCATTTTCAAAAGCATTGAGCTTCTGAGCACTCACTGATTTTTGTGGGAATCATGGCAATAAAACCTATGTACTTTGAAGAGCCTACCAAAACTTCTTAACTAGTAGCCAAAACATGAGCTTATTGCATTCAAGGCATAGACATCAAGGCATGTGAACATCATTTCACTCTGTTGGTGTCTTCACTATCACAGTTCAGCATGGAGTAAAGTGGTTATCTTTGTGCATTCATGCTATGTAATTGAAAAGACATATTCCTCAGGAAAAATTTTAAAGATTTGCTTTCCTCTCCCCCTTACTTGTCAAGAAAGACAAAATAGTAAGAGTCTCTCTTTAAACACAAAGCTCCTTAAATACTGACAACTGAGTTAAAGCAGGAAAGGAAACTATCAGAAGTGGAATTGTCATTCTATACAGTTATCTGTGTTTACATATTCTGAAATAAAGACTCTAAGGACTCCAAATCTTTAAACACACACACACACACACACACACACACACACACACACACACATATGCACTATGCTAAATCCACATAGTTAAACAAAGCACCCACATGGATGCATCTACATTAGCCACATTCTCACTGCAGGCATTTTAATAACCACCTTTGTGGCTACATTTAAACTATCTTATTTGGGTGTTTTCTACTGAAGGAACAATTCTATATTGCAGAATGTAGCTACACCCCCTTCCCCATCTGTAATATGTGTATTCCTGCCTGAAGTGTATTACAACTAAAATGGGAAAATGCAGGCTATTAAAAGATAGACACTATCTAGGGGGATCTGAATTCCCAGATGAATTTCCTACTTGAATTCATTAGGTGAAAGAAAAAACCCAACAATTAAATGAGAATAACTAGTATTTGACTAAACTGACATCAACTTTTACAGCAATAATTGAAACAGAGCCCGTGTCTATATGACACCAAACATTCAGGAAGAAAGCAGTGGGAAGGGAAAATGCCCTCAGCCAAGAATCCAGATGATTTTAAATATTCAAATGATGTATAGATAGACAAGTTGGGCAATTGTCTGAATTTGTCATTTTTCCCCCCAGGTGTTTTGGTCCTGTGTAGCTAGAACAATAGTCTACCAAGTAATTTTTGCAAGAAAGCTCATATTTTCATGATTAGAATGATTAAAATTGATTAAAAGGTAAAAAATATATAATTTTCAAAATAATAACTATTTTTGTCTTTATGACCTCAAATAACCATCAAAATGATGATATCATACAACAGAGGGACCAACTGTTGGCCAAAACTGTTTTGCTTCACTGGTTATTTCCAAGGATACCATGTGAATACTGGATATGGATTGATATGTTGTCAAAGCATAAATCAGTGAAGATCTGAGGACAGTTTTATACCATTCAGTTTTCACATTATAAGAAGTTAGAGAAAAGAGTTAAAACTTTTTCTTATTTGATTTTATCATATATAGCAATGAGTCACATAGCATGATAGAAGGTATTTAGCACATCAAAAATCTTTAAAACTTCTTGTTTAGCAATTTATTAATAATCTTAATAGACAACACTCTCGCAATGACTTCTGCCAATGGAGTCATCATAAAGTCACGTGAATATGTGTTAATTAACAATTCAAGCCATTAATAGCTTATATAATATATATAACTTTCTTAATTTTAATACCATTACTGTTAAGTTGTACTATCAATTTCATTAAATGTATATGGTTTGAAAATATATCTTTTGACCTGACTATATCTGAATACCTACATATACATGTGTATGTACACATATTTGTATTTATAGACACATATATTCCATTAAATATCTACTTATCAAGGAAATATATATGCATACATATATATTTCATATCAGTTGACTCTCAATAGCAAGGACTGAATATATGCCCTTGAATTTAACCTATGACCTTACATTTTGAAAGTCCCTTAAATTTTCAGTAGTTGTGAGGTATAAAAGTAACTTTCATGGTGCCATATTTCTAATTCTAATTTAAAAACTAAACCTTAATAAATGAACAGTCTGTGCTCTTTGACTGAACATAGACTGATTGGGGAGGTTTCAGCACACCCTATTTATATACTACTCAACCTTGGATATCAAGAAACAAAGATAACAAGAAGTACCTACTAATAAATACAGCTGAGTAATCTAAGAAACTCCTATAGGTAACTATAAATAGTTTATGTTCAGAAACAGTTTCCAGGGAAGATTTAGTTTTAAATTATTTTCTTGCTGGGTAAGTACTATGGTACTTATAAAATGGTAGATATTCCTTGATTACTAAAAGAAAAAAAATAAAGTAAGCAGAGGAAAAAAAACCAATTCCTCACTGGATCATTAGGTTACTCTACTTACTAAACGGTTTAGGTGCAGTAGATTGACCCATGAGTTGAAGTAGCTTACATGATTTTAATTCAGTAAGGTAGAGCTCAAAGTCTAAATAGTACACACAAGATGGAGTAATCTTGCTGCAGTCAAAGTGTCTGCCTATACTTATCCAGTTGGAATTTGAATACTGGGTGGTTTTTTTTCCATATATGCACATAAGAAACCATTTCAAAGGATACAAATAATCAAATTTAAGGGATCCTCAATAAAGAAACTTTACCATTTTTGTGATAGTAGGTGACCTCCACTTTCCTTTCCTCTGACCCAAGCAATGCCTGGGCAATTTGGGCAATATCATGCCTCTTGGTCTCTGGCCCATGAAGGAAATCACAGGTGCATGGTTTCTGCATGACATCTGGTCTGGAGAACCCAGTCATTTCACAGAACCCATCATTGCAGTAAATGATAGCGCAGTTCTGCACTCTGGCATTTGCAATGATGAATTTTTTATCTGTAATAGAAAGACAGTGATGCACATTTAAAGCTTCCATAAAACTCCCATAAACACTGGAACAATTTGTTGCATAATAGCACTGCAGAAATGCATAAAATATTCTGTAGTGAAACTAATCTAGACTTTTTACAAAAAAAAGCATTAAACTTGTAAGCAACATTGTTGGGTCACTTAAAGAAAGTAATGAAAAATCATTCCATCAAATTGTGTGAGAATAATTTAATCGAGTGGCTTGTTCTCATCCCCTGCAACTCTCAGGAGCCCAAAGTCTCACATGGAAGGATCAGCTGGCTCTATGATATTTTGAGGATACTATTTAATTTCAAGTTAAATATTTTCAAAACCCAAATAGTGAAAGATCTTGTAGCTCTCTTTTAAACCTTGATGCCTAGGTAACCTGCTCAACTTTCACATAGTATCTATTTTTTCTTTAGTTTTTTGCCTGGACTTATCATATACCACATTAATCTCTTTTTAAGGAATAGTAATTTAAAAAACTGTGCATACAATCATCACTCTTCTAGCATTTAGTATTACAAATCTTCACCCTTTCAAAACACATGGACTAGAAACATCACAACTTCACGTTACTTTTTTTCTTTTCTTTTGCTTCATTTGGGACCTTCATGTAAAGTTATAGATGTTAATGCACACATTTCATTTTTTTTAAAAAAAATAACAGAACCAGATTCCTTATCCCTGGGCAAAATGCACAACACCAATCTCACACAGTGTGCAAGTTTCTTCCTTACATAACTTTACAGAACATCAAATTATTAGATGCAATTATCAAAATAACTCCACAATGTATAACCTTAAATGGGATGCTTAAGATGGTGATTTTTAAAAAGTCTCAAATATAAGTTAGCAAGTGTAGGCTTTAAAATTAATGCAACTATGTAACAATGAGAATACTGCCCACAATAGTAATCCCATATGAAACCATTATATTCCCTGTGGTTGTGGGTTTTACCTAATTCATTTTATTTTCTAGTAAAAAAAGAGAAATGCAAGGAAATTTAGATATTAAGTTGAAATATTTCAGGTAGTCAATAGTCTGCATTAGAATGCATCATAGATCAGAAACCTGTCCATGCAGAACATCCTGCTAGGACTATATTTGCATTGATTTAATGCAAAGTTTAGCCATATGAAAACTAAGCAGCAAAGATCACTGTCACATTCCAGCTTTGAAACGAATTCAAGTTTAAATACTTTTTTCTAGTTGTTCATGTTCAGAGTATTTCACTTAATCACAACATGTTGTTCCATTCTTGATTTTTACAAGTCTCTAAAATAAAAAAAATCTCAAGAAACAATACAGCAGTATTATATAGACACGTTCCCTTTAAGATAGTGAAATAGTAGGACATGAAGTAGCAGGCAGAGAATGGGGCAGTGGGAGAGGAGGGATCAAATTGCCTCTTATAATGGAGACAATAATCTAACATGTAAATCAAAATTAATTTCAGAAAAGGGTATCCCCTCCGTCACCCAAAGCTTTCGATTTGATTTCACAATCTCACTTGAAACAACCCGGAGTTGCTCTTTACAAATCTTACAAGGCAGCTAAAACAAAGTACTTCTATCAAAACAGAAAGAGAGGGAGAGAGAGGAGAGAACAAATGAACTTACTTTGCCCTTCAAATTTCCGTATGATGGTCCCCAAAAATGTATTTTGTGGTGCCACATGACCTCTGCGAACAGGCATGTTTACACCGATCTTCGGATCAGTTCTCTCCCTGGACACAAGAGTTCTCCAGTGATCTACACGGCTACAGCTCAGACCACTGAGCGAGCTTCTCTTTGTGACAAATCATCCTCTTTTAAAACACCGAAATCTCTTCCCATTAGCACCACTTCTAGACACACGCTTTTCCCACTGGAGCAAAATCCATTCCCCACACCTTCCTGAGGGGGGACCTCGCACCGGACTGTCGTTTGGTGAGATGGTTGGGGGGAGGGGGTGGTGGAGAAGGAAGGAGGACAGGAGGCGGGGGAGGGGGGAAGCGACGGGGTGGCTGGGGGGAGGGAGGGAGTCACAAGTGCAATCGATCTGTTTCTTTACTACCAAACACCGCCAATTTCCCAGAGCAAATGGACTTAACCTGGCGGTTTCCCCGAGCCGTGGCGATGTTTAAGGAGACAGGAGACTTCACCCTGTTTTTGATGAAGGGAAGAGCAAAACGGAGGGGAGTCAGCGAGGTTGACGTCCCACCCCCAAACACACACATACACACACACACACACACACACACATTCACACTTGTGCAGACACACTCCCTTTATTCTGGGCTTCACCACCATACAGCTCCGATTACTCAAGCGTAGTTTAGGGGAAACCAGCCAAGACACCTCCCAAACTCAATGCAAACACCTACGTTAGGAAGGTGAGCACCCCAGTCCCTCAGTCACTTGCTAGATGCCCCATCTCCTAGCTCCTCACGCAGTGGCTGCTGAAAGCACTCATAGCTTCAAAGAAGAGATAAAGAGATGGGGAAAGTAACCAGGGAGGAACATCTCTTGCCCCTGGTGGTACTTAAGGGATGGGTTTCAGGATTAAGCCTTTAGCATGGAATGCTTAACCTCGGGGAATGGCAGGGATTCCTGGGGAGCAGAAACTGGCGTTGTTGGGGGTGGGGTGGTAAAGCTCTCTGGCGTATGTATTGTCACCACTGCCTGTCCCTGCCCTGGCTCCGGGCGCGGCGCCACAGTATCGTGCAAAGGCTTCCTCTTTGCAAAGACTGCCCCCGCCACAGAGCATGCCCAGCTTCACTGCTCCAGCCTCCGAGGAGTTGAAACGCGCGGGTTGTTGCACTTCTTCAGGTGTTGGTCTCTGTGGGCACCAAGGAAAGGCAAGGAAAGGCAAGCTCTAGCAGAGCATGTGGTCCAAAACAGAGATGGAGCCTGGGAAGGGTGAGGCAGGACGAAGGAGGGAAGGAACAAAAGGTGGGTGGAGCACAGAATTATCCACGTTGGTGTGGCTTTTTCAGGGCCATTTCTAGTCTATTACACGTAATGCTTGCGCCTCCCTTTTCTTTCACCTACTCTAAGCCCTGACTTAGCCTGGAGGAAGAGACAGAACAGAGACACAACCACCTTGACCACTTTGAGTCTTTTCTCCACTCATTGACATCTATGGGGCAGATTCATTCACTTCTCCCTGGATTTCTTCCTTTACGTTCTCTTCCCCTTAAGCCCACAGGTACAACAACGTCTTTGATTTCCTGGACTAAACTTCCCCCCCCCCCACTCCAGAAGGAACGTGGTTGTGCTGTTGTGATTTATTGATGAAGAGACATGCTATACCTGTCACTTAGCAAATCAAATCTTCCCACATCTCTCAACAGAGGATTTAGTCTTTTGAGGATACCAGGTCACAGCCACTTCCATTTTTCTCTTGTACCCTTATTCTCTCTTCAGTCTACTGAGATTCAATTTTGATGGAAACTTATGTCTTACCCTTTATCCCTGCTACTTTTCTCTTAATGGAATCTACCACCACTAAAACCTGGAGAAGTGGAGCACAAAATCAAAACAAACAACATAAACTCTTGCCTCTAGCAAGAAGAGAAGTCTGATCAGCAGTCACCAGCAGAAACAGATATTCGTATGTTACAGTTTTTTTTGGGGGGGCAGTTTGGCCCTTTACCCATTTTCCCTGTCTCTGGTGTCAGTACCAGTTTCGCACAGTCACACACTCAGCTCTGAAGTGAGAAAGGGAGAAGGAGGTGTAAGGTGGGGAAGGAAATGAAGAGTTAGAAAGTGAGGGGGAATTATGTGTATGATAATTAATAAAAGATGAAAGGATGTTTGGAAAATAGGCCCGTTGAAGTCTCTTTTATTTTATCTTTCAGAGAACCAAGCCAAGTCAAACACAAAAATCCCAATAATTTTTTGTTAGTCTCCTACCTAATTTTAAGTGGTCAGAAATACGGAAGCAATTATTTAACTTCTTAGAGATGTTTTGTTCGGATTTTCGCTTCTTCAAACTTAATTTACACAGAGGCAATCCATGACAGACACCTTGGAAGGGGGAGAGATGTTGTCCTTTGATGGCTTAAGCTTTCCTGAATCTATACGGTTCCCTCCCTCTTGAAATATAAATCTTGTCATACTCCCAACTCGCAGCTTATTTTCCCTTGTCTCTACTCCCCTTTCCTACCACTCCCCACCCTCCAGCCCCCATCTGTCTGTTAGTGCTTTGAGGGCTAAGCTGCAGCCTGAGTAGGAGAGAAGCAGGCGTTCTTTCCCCAGGTGCTGGCCCCGTGGAGCTATCCGTGACGCTGGTGCTGACTCCGCTATTAGTAATTGCTGCCTCAATCCAGCAACAGACAATAGAACTGCATACTCAGGCAAGCCGAATTGAGATCTTCACACATCAGCCGCCTCATATGCTTACAATTCCTGAAACACTTTCCATTTTCACCCCACCCAATCAACCCCACCACTACTCCCTAGTCTCTATCCTGAAGGACATTAACAACTTGGGAGGAATACTGGCAAACCAACTATTATGTGCAGATTGTAATTAAAGCACCACGGACAACAGGAAGGAGTAATAAAACAGTAAGTTGTGTCGAGGTTAGCCTGATAATACTGCTCTGAGCGATTAAAGTCAAGCAGTTAAAACCCAGTCAGTATATGCTGCATTATGTGAAATTGGTATTTCTGAATAAAGCTTGAGGTAGGTTTCTTATACCTGTCTCTTGACGAGATTTCTTAATAGGTGGAAAGTGATAGTAAATGTTTTCTGTAGTGATGAGCTTGATACTAACTTTTGCAGGCTGTTAAGCTTAGAAACCTTTGCCTTCCACCTGTTCTTCCTCTGCAAGATCAGGTGTTTTCTTACTCCCTGAGGGCTTTCCCTGTCATTCATTTTAACCTTCATTGTTTTTTTTTTTTTTGTTAATTACTCACTTTACATTTAAATTCAATCACACCTCTTAAAAATCCATATGGTGGTGTTCTGTAGGTTTCACATTTCCTCACCTCATTTAACTCTCAGATTAGTTCTATTAAGGACACTTTCTAACCTATGTATTGTAATTGATTGATCTGAGTAGAAGATTAAAGGCATCCTGTTTCTAAATTACCTTAGTAATCGTGTTCATGCATTATACATTGGGGCAGTGGAGACAAGTACATCAATCAATATTCAGCCAATAATAGAATCAAACCAAAGGATAGTAATCATATCTGCCTTGCCTGTTGGAAAATTCTCTCTCCCACTCAAAGGTGAGACATTTGCAGATTTCTAAACTGTAAAACATGTTGTAAGTTCCTTAGCTCCCTATCTTTAGCATGTGGAAAATCAAATGAACTATACAAATAACTTTAGCTTTAATCATTTTAATTTATTGACTTTGTAAGACTATTTGCTAAAATATGTTTTCTTCTGGATTTTAAATTCAAAAGAAATTCTTCCTTATGGCTTCCTTCCAGACATATTACCCAACAGATGATCAATGTTTGTCCAACTCTCCAAGGAGCCTGTAGCAATTATTGTCATATTAAAGACAAATAATTTCTTATAGGTTAGGAGAAAGGAAAAAAAGTTTTGGAAAGAAAGATTAAATTCTATGTAACTTTCTGGGAGCTAAATTTCCTCATTTGTCAAAAAAAAAAAAAAAGGAGAGATGGCCTCAATGATCTATGAGGTTTCTTCCAGAGGTTCTTTCCAGGTTTCACATGTTATACCCCTAAGGAAAGCTTGTTTTAAAAATCTTACCTCTTTGATAAAGCAAATAACTTGAATATACTAAGCAGATGAAACAGGGAAATTCAGCCCACAAGTACATGCAATAAATGTCCTTGAAGTTGATAACTGGGTTTTTAAATAATCCTTTATCAGTAGGCCCAATATAAATTATAACTGATTGTTGGATATATATATATATATATTATATATATATATATATATATATATATATATATATATATATATATAGTAGCCTTGTCTTCCAATAGCCATTTTTGATGCCTACTTCTTAATCTGTTCTTATTATTTCTTGGATTTTGGGACTTCACAAAGTAGTAAACAAAGTTTTCTATACTTTCTAGTTTCTTTTTTGAGATAAATATCTTTTAGTTACCTTAAAAAATAGTTGAAATGGTCTACATAGTTTTGTTTATGCTATAATGCATGCTCTTATACATTTAAATAAATCTTTACTAAAGTAGTTGATCTTCCCAACATGTAAGCTACTTTTAGATTGATAAGTCAGTTGCCTTTGAAAATTGAATTAATTTTTTAAAAACTTTGCTTTAATTTTTAACCTTTGTTTTTACCTCATCCTTATTTCCAAATATTCCCCTAACTGGTATATTCCCCCTGATAACAAATATTTTAAAAGAAAAAGGGAAAAAAGTAGCTACATTAACTCATACCTTTAGGATATTATTTATTTATAGCATTTATATAATTTGTGGTTTATGCCTATGGTATAAATACATTTTATATTTTATATTCTGTAAAGACAAAGAGCTGGGGCCAGAACTGAATAGGAGGGAAAGAGGTTGAATTACCTTTGGGAAATTGCCCAGTGTTTTTAATGACCCTAAGCATCTTTTTGAAGCCAAGGCCCATCTTTTAAACACAAATATTCTTCCAGTCATGTGGTATAGCTACTAGATACGGAATATCAAAACCTCTGAAGAAAAAGAGTTGAAGGTCCTCAAAGGGCAATGTAAAAGCTGCAACATATTACTAACAGGAAACTGAACAGGAATAAAAGATGTTAGCAGAGAGGTGTGGGTACAGGAAAGAAGGTAGACAGATCATGTGGCAAGGGTAAGAGATAATTGAGCTCCATTGGTATCCACACAATGTCAAGAGGAATGCCTATGGCATATTGGATGGACTCCCTATGGAAAATTTGTGGAAAAACATGTACATGGGTCTCTAGGGATGGGAGGGCAAGAATAGGCTGTGATCTGCATCACCGGAAGGAAT